CCGCCCCCCGCCCCCCCCCCCCCCCCCCCCGACCCTTCCCCCGCAGCGCCGGCGATGCCCGCTGGGCCAACTTGGCCCCGGGTCAGCGCTGCGGAGCGCGGCCTCGGCTGCCGGGGAGGCCGCCGGCGCCCTTACCTCCTTCTGCTTGGGGTCCTGCGGGTAGACGTCGGGCGGCCCGAGCCGGGGGCGTTTCAGCGGCCTCTGCTCATAGCTGAGAAGCCCGAAGGCGGCCATGATCTCTCATGTTAACCGGCGAAATGAATGAGAGTTGGAGCTGGAGCAGCCGCCTCTGAGCACCAGGGAGCAGCACTTTGCAGACAGACTCCCTCGCTCCCCCTCCTCGCTCGCTCGCTCGCTCGCTCGCTGTGGCGCTGCAGGCAGGAAGAAAGCAGGTTGGATGCTGCCGCTGCCCGGCACGCAGACTCGCACGGATGGGGCAGCCTTCGGCGGGTCCCCGGCGGCGCTGGAGCCCCGGGACGCAGCGCTCCGGGGCGGCGGCGGAGGGGCTGGAGGTCCGCCTGGGTCCTCCGCGGCCCTTGCCTCCCGTCCCCCCCACCCTGTCCCCAGGGGGAGGAGCAGCTGATGGGAACGTGTGACTTTTTTCACCAATGGACCCAAACCCACCCCAGCCGAGCGCAGGGTGGGGGTGGGGGAGGGGCACGGGGGGGAAAAAAACTTTTCTTGGCGCCCAGGCGGGTGGTTCAAGTGCTCGCCCCAGGCGAGGGTGGCCCTCCCGCCCGAGGAAGGGACTGCGGAGCGGCCCGCCCCCGCCCCTCCACCTCGGCAGGGGTCCTTTCCCCGCCGCCACGCGCCCCGCAGACCCCGCCACCTGGGCGCCGACCCGGCCGGGGCGGAGGGAGCGAGGCCTGGAGGGGATGAGGAGGCAGGGATGCGGCCGGTGCCTCCTGGACGCCCGCCGGGCTCCGCTGGCGCATCGGCGGCTCGGGTCCCCTCGGTGGCTCCGGGCAGGCGCCGAGGCGCGCAGCTGGCGGTCGCGGCGGCTGGAGGGGGCCGTGCTCACGGTGGCGCGGGGCCGACTTAACCCCTTGCTGCCCCTCCAGGGGCCGGGAGGAGGGGGTGAGGAGGGTGGGCGGTGAGCGCTGACGGGGGGCTGCCAGCCCCGGGCGTCTCGGGCTCCTCAGCCCCCCGCCCTCCCCCGGCCGCCCCTCCTCCTCCCCCCACCCCCAGCAGTTTACCTGTTGGCCCCCCGCTAGTGGGCAGGGGCCGGCGGCGGCGGCGGCACTCGGGCGGCCGCAGCCTCCATGATTCGGGGTGGGATGGGGGGGACCGGATTCGCTTTGATCTGTAGCGATCAATCTCGGCCGGGCGAGCTCCGGGGACGCCGCGAAGTTTGCCGCTGCCTGGGGGCGGCGGGCGACGCCGGCTCGCCGCCGCCGGCGTCCTCGCCCCCTCGGCCCGGAGCGCGAGCTTCCGAGTTGGGGCCGGCGGCGCGGCGGCCGCACTGAGCATGCCCAGCTCGGGGCCGGACCGCGGAGGAGTTGGCTGCGAGCGCGCTCCGATCCGCTCGCCGGGTTTTCGCGGCCGCAGCGCGCGCAGCCCGCGGCCCCCACGCTGCCGGCCCCGGGTGAGTCTGCGCCGGGCGGGGGGCGCCCCCGGGACCCCGCTCCCGGCCGCCGCGCCCTCTCCAGGTCGCTGTCCCCGTGGCCTGGGCCGCAAACCTCACCTGCGCCGGGCGTGGGGAGGGGGGGAGGCTAGCCTCCGGGGGAACCTCGGTCGTGCCACCCGCCCGCGCTCCCCGCGCGCCTCGGGGCGTGGGCACCGAGATGCCGGGCCACCTGCCGCGAGCGCCTGAGCCCGGAGGCGCGGGGGCGGGCCCGGCCTGTCCCGAGGGAGCCCGCGGGCGGGGCGCCCGGGAGGATGCGCCCGCACTTGGCCGAGAATGATGGCTGCCATTTATGGAGCCCCCGCTCCGTGCCAGGATCTTAACAGTAAAGATCCCTGATCCTTTAAAAAAAAAACAAAAAAACAAAAAAAACCTTACAAGATTTGACTGTGCCCTTTTTATAGATAGAGAAATTGAGTCCGCTGCGGGAGGCCCAGTGACTTGCTCAAGCCTTGGAGCTGCCTCGGCTGATCCCGGATTTCTGATCTCTTCTCCAGGACTTGCGATTGGAAGGACTGGGTTCCTGAACTGCCCTTGCCTGAGTGTGTCACGTTCCCCACGCCCTGAGGCTTTCCTCGGACTCCCGGTGCCACCCTCTGTAGGACGGTGCGAGCGGAATCCACCCGAAGCCTTGGTGCAGCCCCTGGCACGTAGTAGGAGATGCCAGGCAGACCTGAATATCCACTCCCCTATGCTGTCTTTAAGCAAAGGGAAGCAAGAGACGGGTAGATAAGGCGAGGTGGTGGAAGCTGGTTCCCCACTCCCCGCCGTGGCCTGTTAGCACCTCCCAACGCAGCCTGAAGCCAAGGCACGCCTGGAGTTTCGGCTTCTTTACTCACTCTGAGCAAATACTTTTAAGAGGACAGTTACCCTCCACCAGGGGCATTTCCTGAGCGCCTTCTGCGCCCTGCCCCAAGGACCTCTGTTCCACTAACGCCCTGCATGTAACTTCAAAGCTGAACTTGCCTTGTGATACAGGCGTCCATCAAATCTAGCTTCCCTGCTTGAGGAAAAGGACAGTTTCCTAACTTTATTAGGGAAGTTATCAAACATACCAAAAGCAGAAAAATGGTATAATGAACCCCCAGGTACTCATCTCCCAGCTGTGACAATTAACTAAATGTTGCCATTCTTGTGTCCTCTCCCCCAACCCCAACACACTGACATACACTGAAGACCGCAGTGTTACTCATTGTTGCAACTTAGACACACAGCATGGACCTGGCACATGGGTGGGTGCTCAGAAAAATGTTTGCTGGATGGGGGATGGATGATGGGTGGGGGGTGGGCAGGTGTGTAGGTGAGTAAAGCACTGGTGATACTTTGGGCTTACCTTGGGCTGATATCCTAGTCTTCTGGGAGATGGAACCTAAATTCTTCCCTTGGAATACCTAGGCAAGAGCCTCCAATTGGCCTCCACAAAGGGAAAACTTTTGAAGCACTCAAAAATCTTATCTAACCATAAAGATTTTATTTTAAAATCAAAATCTGTTAGGGACCAGCCTGGTGGCATAACAGTTAATTACGTAGGCTCAGTTTTGGTGGCCTGGGATTCGCAGGTTCAGATCCAGGGCGCAGACCTACACACCACTCATCAAGCCATGCTGTGGCAGAGTCCCACATACAAAATATAGCAGGAGATTGGCACAGACATTAGCTCAGGGACAAATCCTCCTCACCAAAAAAAAACAATCAAAACGTGCTGGTAACATGTCCCTAGAGTTTGTGAAAAAGGGAAAGGGATAGCTCTCTCCCTGTTGGTCTCCCTTCTTAACTCCTCCCTTGTCTTGAGACAGTCTGATGTGGGTACTTTGGCCCTCTCAACACGAAAAAGAGTGATAGCTTTAATGTGCTGAGACACTTCCTCAAAGTCATTCTTTCACTACATGGACTTCCCACGGGCATTTAGCTCCCTCACCCTGGCATCCTCACCCTGTTCTTCACAATCCACCCTCATCTACCAATCCAACTTTTTCTCCTGAATGCTTCACCCCAGTTAACACTCACTCCCATTTCTAAATATGGAATTCCCAGGCCCTTCACTTTCCCATAGCCAGCTGGGGACAGTCCTCAGAGCCTGGACTCCTGGATGAAGCCCACCCCAAACTCTTGAGGCAGAAAATGATCCTTCCGGTTCTTTCAGTGCCCTGAGCACTTAATTTTCATTCTCTTCTTTCAACACCTCATTATTTATTGGTGTGCATTCATATATGCCACACAGAATAATCTCATTCCTCCATCCCCACCTCACCCTCTTGCTCTCCATCTTCCATTCCAGAGTTAGTCCTTAAGCTAACTAAGGCCGGTTAACATGGTGGGCTCAACGTGGAAGCTGCTGTGTTCCATGTACTTGAATTTCCCCTCACGGTGCCGGTTAATACAGCAGATGAGCACAGATTCTTGTTGAATTATGTGAGTCTCGATTGCTGCTGTTCCTAGAAGGGGCATCTTACCTTTACTTCGCTAATGACCCCCTGGGCCTGGGAACAGTTTGCCTGGAATGGGAACTGCTCAGTGATGACCAGAGGCTCCCAGACAGGACCCAGCCTAGACCTCAGCCCAGCAAAAAGAGATGAGTTCAGGCACCCAAAGAAATTTAGTACAGCTGGTGAGGGAAAGGGGTTGAAATGTGGCCAGAGAAGGAGGAATTTTAAACCATCTTAAGCTTATGGGACTTCATCCTCCAAGTATGAAGGGAGACCTCTAGGGCTGCTTTTGGGGGTTGACAAGTGTGTAAAAGCCGGCCCTTTTGCTTAGGTCACATCCAAGGGCTCCTCAAAGATCCCTCAGCAGCAGGAACCTCCCTAGCTGCTTCTGTTCCCTCTGCAAGCGCTGGTTTTCTGAATTCTGCAAGCAGTCCCTCAGAGCTGGGACTCCTTTCATGCTCTTGGGCAAAGTCCCTTTAAGATGGCTCTCTCTCCGTTGGTTTGGTGTGCAGGAAATGCACAGATGTCCTTTGCCTGCATGTGCTCTGGTGCAGTCATTTTCTCACCAGCCTTCTCTCCTTCCCACCTTGGGCACACTCTGCAAGCCACCGTTCTTCACCTTGAAAGTTCTCCAGTCTGGGTCAGAGACCACTCTCTCGGGTTCCCACAGGCTGCAGCAGACAAATGTCAAGTGTCCAGGCCAGGGGTCCCCTCGATGCTCTTTTCACGAGGCTTGAGAGGAGCAATAAAATTTCTTCAGCAAAAGACATGGACACAATCATATTTGCAGAGCAGGTTTCAAAAACAGGGTGGAGAATGGCTAGGTGCAGAGGCACGGTGTTGACCCATCAGAGGCAATGGCCCTGTAATCCCTGTTTTACAGATTAGCAGGTGCAGCCCCAGAGGTGAAGGAACTCGTTCAGGGCCATTGAGTTAGCAGGTAGCAAAGCCAAGATCAAAGCAGATCCCCCGGGCTCCCACCTGTGCTCGCTGTTGTCAGCGTGCTACGTGTATTCATTATCATTCTCGTAACACGGGTGACGGTGAGCCTCGAAAGACACGTCTGGAGGAAGAGAAGCAAAATTCCTCACAGCTCGCTCCGGCGTCAAGCTTGCTTCCGCTCAAGTGGAAAGAAGCAATTCTGAGTGCAGTGCCTAAAGGTGGAGTAACGAAAGTGGCTGCTTCCCCCATGGGCTGAAGCTTGTCCAGATGT